CCGTATAAAAACACACCGATGAGCGGTTTCCACAAACAGCTAGTGCATAACTTTTTCTATGGGAAAACTGATTCAAGTTTTTATAAGAGTAAAGGCCCGCAGCGCCCCTGGGGGGGGCAAATCTCTTCCTTTTTTTTTTTTTTTCGGCCGCTCCAGGCGCTCGCCGTCCTCGCTGGAGCCCGTGCCCGAATCCTTGGAATCTGCGGACACAAAGCGACGGCACTTAGACGGGCACTGCAGCCACGCAAACATTGCTCCTTCCGAGAAGTGAAACTTTCGCTCTGGCGGACAATGTCCGAGGAATTGCGAATCTAAGCTCTCAATGTTGGCTGACGCCATTTGTTTTCCCGAGATAATTATTTTGAAATGAACTGGGAATGTAACATAAATATGTCAAGCGAATTACAAAATAAAGACATTTCATTATTGTAGTGCCGTTGCAATTATTGTATTTCAAAATGTCACCAATGTTCTGAAATACATTTGAGTAAATGTGAAGTTCCTTTTTATTTATGGTGTCTTTGACATTGTTTTTTTTTATCTAATTCACATACTCATATGCACTTGTTTTTCAAATATACTTTTTATTGAGGAGACATTACATTATTTATAACGTATTTTCTGATAATTTTGGTGTTCTTAGAAGACACATTTTAATAGGAATTCTAACGATTTATTTCAATATTATAAGTGACGACTGTATTACTTTCAGTTATTTTGAAAGAATACATGAAATAAATTTAATTCTAAAGGAACAAACAATTTCCGTAATAAAGTGTTGAAGATACAATTATCAGAACTTAACATAATAAGTATTTTATGGTAAGAACCGCAACGAGAACAACAGTATTTGCGTAACAAAACTGGACCAAAGTAGAAACATAATCCACCAGACGTAATGCGGAATGGAAGAGGAGCAGCACGGTTTTACAATACTTTGTTCGAAATGGAACAAGTGATCTGTAGATCGTGTTGAAAAGAAAGTGTTTTGTCGACACTCCCCCGTGACCTTTGAAACACGCGAGAATCTGTTCGATGACGTGACTCATGTTTACCCCATCGACCTCACGGCTTCGCTCTATGCGCCGATGGGAAAATAGTGTGGAGGTGTACCCACAAGGGAAGCTTTAATAGCACGTCTGTTTTTCATAAATGTTATAATAGCACTATCGACTGCCTGTAAAATACTGTTGACTATGTTTCTTCTGCATTTCTATAGAAAGCAGAATGAAGTATTGTATTGTATGTTCCCTTTTGTTAGTTAATGGTTTCTTTTAACCTGCATCTATATTATTAAATTCCAACGCGCGCAACAATGGAAAGAAAACTATAGAACCGTCGACCATGTGAGAGGTGTCTTATGGTGTCGGTAGATACTCCGGAGTTGGCGAAAAAACAAATTCAACGTAACAGCCTTAATTTTATCTGAAAAATGCAAGTATGTGACTGTGATGTTTCGCCTATTCTCATACTGCGCATACCGACTGAATTCATAAACTCATTGTTTACGAATCAGGTACTGTCCTGCGACAGGAAGCCTCCAAAAGCAGAGGCCACCTACCATTAAATATTGGCTACCATACCCCTACAATTAAATATTGGCTATCCACTTCTTGGGTTTTGGAACAGCAACAGTTTTTTAATATTCGATGTTTGTAAAGAACTCTTGTTCTGTATAAACATTATAGTATTATCTTATTGCAGTATTCACGAAGATAGTTTTTGTTAAAATAAAGATATTTTTTGTTAAAATATATAATTTGTAGGAGTGTTATATGCGAGTATTGAGTTTGTTGTTCTTGATCAATGTGCGTGCTACTTTTTTGAAAACAAATTTATGTGGTTTTGTTTAACAGTATTTTTAGTGCTGTATGCTACTAGATTGATTAAATCTTGTACATGTATTTCATAGTAAGAGGAAAGACATTCAGATTTATCATTAAGAACAATTTTAATCAATAGATTTGCAGTAACTAACAGTGTAACATTTTGACATAATACATTGGAAATACGAAAACTTAAATTTTAAACATGTTTAGTAGGTGAATTTTATGACTAGGGAAGATGTAGCCATGGACCTTGCGGAAATCACGTTTCCAAACTGGCCCAAGAGAGATCGATTGCGTAAGTGGCTCCCTTTGGTTTCGCAGTTGAGAGGCTCCTGATCGAGAGGGGGTAACCCGGGGCCCCTGGGTGAACGCAGAAGACGGAGGGGCTGGCGAAGGCGGCGAGGCGGACCGAAACGTCAAGGGGCGATCGCCCCCCCACCCCCACCCACCCCCATCCCTCTGCGCTGAGTGCGGCGGGGCGCGGGGCGAAGAAGAGTCGAGGCGTGGTACGAGGAGGGAGGGGAGGGGAGGTGCAGAGCGCGCGCGCCCGTCATATTTGTAAACACAATTCACAGCCGCGTCACGAATTTCCTGCAGAGAGGCCGGCTTGCGCGGCTTGGCGGCGGCGCGGGGGCGGGGCGGCGGACGAGGCAATTTGCGGACGCCCGCACGTCCCGTCCCCGCGATCGAATCGAAACATCGGCGCGCGCCTGCTTCGCCCGCCCCCCCACCTCCCCCCCCCTCCCCCACCCGCCCCCGATCCGACGGCCGCGACGCGCTGCGATCATACAGCCGCTCGCCCCGCCGGCCGCGACCGCACGGCCGACGGTGCGCGCCGGTGCGCCGTTGCGGCCTGACGGTGTGTCTCTGAGGTGTGTCCTGACGGTGGGTCTCTGACGTGTTGCCTGCCTGTGCCTGCGTGTGCCTCTGACGGTGTGCCACTGAGAGTCTAGCTATATGTTGGCAAAGGTCGGGAGACAATGCGACCCTGACAACATTTCATCCACAAATTTTCCCGGTTTTCCAATGCACTTTTTAACTTTAGTCTAATAAGTCTTCTTATTTCACATTTTAAATTCCCAAAATATGCCCATCTTATGCAACTTTCGATAGCTTCGTAACCTTCCTGCGATTTTACATCGCCCTAATCATTTTAATTCTAGTTCCATCTTCATTCTAGATTCATATTAATCCACATTTTACTTAAAGAAACCCAATTTTGAAAAAAATTGTAATGCATAAAATTATCCTTTTCGTCAATTAGACAACCTCACTTTTGAATGTTCCCTTAGTTTTTTTAATAAAAAAAAATATACGAGTGCTCTGCCTTTGTGTTACTTGAAGGTGGAAGCGCAATCTAAATGTAATCATCATCTTGTGAAATATTATAGACTGTTGTTGGTAGAGTTAAGAGGAAACTATGAACTATTAGAATTCTTGGGTGAACACTGTTCGTTTTCAATACAAAGCTGATATTAATTGTTGTTAAAAGTGGGCAATGGATTATAAGAACACTTCTCAAAACGCCACTTACGAGTTGTGAAGCTCAAAAGAGACTCATCTCAATTTCGACCAATGCAACCGAAGTTTGACTTTATACAAGTGTATACAAATATGTAATGTAAAATATTCAATATTTTACAACTTTTGTCATTGTGAAGAAAGTAGTTTTATAGCAATGTTGCCATTGATTTCATCGACATTTTAAATTAAAACAATTTAAAACTTAAGTTCTTCAAATGTAAGATCATTCTCCCACTCCTTATTTATCTCGATGCAGCTGGACAGAAATTTCCCTAATGCATGCACACTATCTCGTATACATGGTAGATTGATTAATTAGTGATGGCGGCGATTCTCCTTCATTAGATGGCGACATCCGGCGTCGACCTGCCGGCCGACAAGCGGGATTTCCCCCCTGAATCACTAAGTACCTTTCACCAGCGGGCAACCACCCTTGCCGATACAAGCTGTAAGCTCCCGACCGCTCTCTCGGCATGTGTGGCAATGTAGTGCATGTATTGTGTGTGTAAGTAAGAGGTGAGAGTAGGAAAAAGAAAGGGAAGGAAAGATCGCGCGCGGTCCGTGGTCCCTTTGTTAGAGTACAGTTTCGGCATCCGCCTCGTATTCATCGAAGAAACCACGAAAAACTACCGATCAGAGCAGCCGGCCGCTAGAATTCTCCTCCACCCCAGCAACTGAATTCGATCGTGCTATCTAGTGTAGAAAATAATTGCCACCGTCAGAATTCGAACCCAGGACCTCCCGGTCAGAGGCACTGCAGTGACATCAGTTGATGCCCTGACCCACTTCTCCCAGCACGTATACAAGAAATCACTAAATCCGGAATATCAGTTGAAATCGCAAATAAAGCTGTTGCAGTCGTTTGCTGAAGAATTTAGACATGAGAATTTAATAAACTGGGGGGGGGGAATTAATTTTTTTTTCTGATTTCCTTATATTATGCACGTAGTTTTCCACAGCATCAGCAAGTGAATTTGCTGTAGTATTTTTAGGCGAGGCACGATTTCACCTTGAGAGGTGCTGCTATAGCATAATGCAATAGTAAAGTGTGTCTACGAATGCTTACTCGACATAGCAACATAGACGAATAACTCGATGTGCAATTTCTTTTAATAATACAGGTGACTATGTGAGAGAATGTGCCTCGTAGCCTTTTACGCACTGCTGTGTATGCCTTATGTATCGAGGTCGCCGTTTATCCTCCTGTGGATTTTAATTATTTTAATTAATTAATCGTGCACAAATATTCTAATTTCAGTTTAGCAAAATTCATAGAAATTATTTTTTATCATTTCGTCTTACTTGTCCTAACCTTAGGCTACAATCAAGTTTTATTAATGACTTTATTGCAATCCACTTAACAATTCAAACATTTCTGATGTGAAGTATTAATTCTTTTTTCATACACATTCATTAACCATCATAAAACAATTGTTTGCACAATTCTCTGTAAGCAACGTCAGAATTATTTTTAGAATGTGTGTACCGTTACCAAGATTATTAAATGGTTTGCCGCATTGAACACAGAACTGCATATACGTTGGAAGTAAATTAATGGTGTGGGTATGCAAGGAAACTGCAAAATACCGCAAATTTGTAAAACGAATTATTACGATGTTCCGCATTAAATAAATTTGAAACAAAAAATTAAGTGCAGAATTGATCCGGAGGAAAAGATGATGTAGGAAGATCTACAAAAAGAGTAGAATTATTCGTAATTACTCGGAACAGGTGTTACCTAAACAGAAAAAAAGTGGAAGTTCAAGAACAATGGGAAGATAAGAAGGGAGGAGGAGGAACAATAACAAGGAGAAGGAGAAAAAGAAAAGAGAAATATAAATATAAAGGAGGAGGAGGAGGAGGAGGAGGAGGAGGAGAGGGTTTAGAGGAGGAGAATACGGAAGAGATGAGAATGAGTGTTAAAAAGTGGGGAGGACGCAGAACGTGAAATGGATTGGCCCACTCACCCGGGTCTTTGGCCGGGTCCGCGCTCTTGCGGCCGCCGCCGTCATCCTCGTTGTTGTTGTCCTCGTCCTCGACGCGGTTGCGCGGCTCCCACGTCATCTTGTTCTCCTTCTTGAGGCGGCGGCGCGCGTTGGCGAACCACGTGGAGACCTGCGTGAGCGTCATCTTGGTGATGATGGCCAGCATGATCTTCTCGCCCTTGGTGGGGTACGGGTTCTTCTTGTGCTCGTTGAGCCACGCCTTGAGAGTGCTTGTCGTCTCGCGCGTCGCGTTCTTGCGCCGCGCGCCGTTCAGGTCCATGCCGTACCTGCAACGAAGGAGCGCGCTTCGTGAATTTGCTGCGATTTTGTGGGTAGGCACAGGGTGGATTAACAAATGAACAGATTATATGTGGTTACGGCTCTCGCTAGATGGTGAGACATATACCCAAATACACCGATGGAAATATTGATTAAAATACAATGAAATAATAGCTCATTGATACACGGAAATGAAAATGTTGGGGTACATGTTACATTTACAAAGAGTACATTGGGTAACCATATTGAACATTGAAGAATTAATGATAATATTACGATGTAAATATTAGGGCTTAACAATTTAAGGCCGGAATTAACCTGAATATTGGGTATTGAACATTCCTAGTACAAAATAAACCTTTCTTATGATTTAGGATATATATTGTTTTTTATTTTAGATGACGACATACAGGAATAATAGACAATCAATGATGAGATTTAGCCGTATGCATAGGCGTAGGTACAGGGTTCAAGAAAAGTGACTGTCGAAAAAAGAGTTGTAGCAAATGTCAAAATTAATTACAAAAAAAATAGAAGACAAACAAGAACAAATGTGACATGTTTCACCGGGCCGCAATTTTTGCTTCCCAGCATGGGGCAAATTGTATTAAAAGCCGTTTCAATAAGAACCCTCTATAATTCTCAAAAACAATAATTTTACTTAATAAATATTTATAATATTTAATATTAATTTTAAAGTAAACTAGTTTTAGTTCTTTTTCATATTAATTTGTAATTATTTGTCCTTTTTTTAATATTTGTAAAAAAAATCAAAAGAACACAATCTGGTATGCTAGAGCTTATGATCTCGAAACATTCAATTAGGAAAATGAAGATACGCACGAGATATTTGACAAATATATTGAATTAGACCAAATCGTAAATAGTAATCACATATATGTGATTACAAGCAAATGAATACTCTGATAAGGGAAAGGTTACATATATTAATATTGAAGAGTAATCATATCATTTTCTCTCAATATTTCTGAAAATATTCTTTTGATGGTCTCTTTAATCCAACACATTATTGAATAGACAGTTGGAAATACCTTCCTTTTAATGTAATGTTTGCTCTTTCAAAAATAAAATTATCTTGAACTTAAAAGACATCAAATGGAAAATCTTCTCACTATTTTCCCAGTTATTAAAGACCTTGCACGTAAAAAAAAAATTCCCAGAGCAATAATAAGGAAGGCGGAGAACATATCTATATTCTTACATCTTGCAAGACAACCTATTATTCTAGTGTGAAAACAAGCAGCCATTTTGTTCTTATCAGGGGCCATTTTATTCCACAACAAAATCTTCTCTACGACCCGCGGCACGACAAACAGCGTCCCCTCCCTGGCGCAGCTTCTTAGCTTTGCCGCACAGTCATCCGAAATGACTCAGAGCACGCGCATGGGATATCTTATCTAATTTTCAAGAGAAAAAATCTACCACCAACAAAACTTTGTGAAACAGCCACGTGCACTTAAAATATAAGGCACGTGAAAAACGTAAAGCACATTAAAAATAAGTGTGAAAGTGTACCTTCGATATCAGTATTTTTAAATGCTTATGCTTACTACCGATTATTTGGACAGTGGAAGATATTCGTATTTGAATGTCTATTAGAGAAATATTACGCGAAACGTGCTACATAAAGTGATGACTGAATGTTTCATGTCTCTCAGGCACGGTGTTCATTGGTTGTAAATAATATGAAGTTTTTCTTTAACGATTTTTCTTCTTTATTTTTTCCAAGACGATATACATGATTGGCAAACTTAATATTTTGCGTTTTTAAATGACGATTTCGTCTACTAAAATATTAATTACTCACTCCCCCGTCAACAGTTCTAACTCTCTACACTTTATGACTCTAGAAACCTGATGTTATGTTCGGGTTCCGAATTTTACCATGGTTAAGCGAATTCGAGACATCGCGAGTTTCTGGTTGGGTGACAGACTGGGAACTCTGTGTAACGGCGCCAAGACTAATTGCCCTTGATGGGATAAATACAAATATAAATACAAAATAATCTATTGTAGCACTGCTAGCTTTTTTTATTGAAGGTCGCATCAACATCTAGGTCATTAGCGACCACTATTGCATTTATCGGTATGGTAACTATAAAGATGTCGTGATATGATGATAGGGAATGAAAGCACGAACACGAATACAACTATTCCTGAGGCGGGATTCGAACCCGCGTACCTTCTGTTCGAGATCGCTACTGCCTCGGTCATCCGGACTGGTCCCGCTAGCGTTTGTTTTTTAAAAAAAAATTAAATGTTATGGGAAGCTTTCCGCCC